ACCATTGAGGGAGATGTCTGTGGTCTCCAATTGAAGCAAATGCACAAGAACACGCACTGAGGTGCTCACTTGCATGTGTGATCGTTGAATGATCGTTGAGGGACAAGAACTACTGAGCGCCGTGCTGAATTCGTCGCCCCTGTTTCACCTCCTTCACTCTGCCGACATGGCTCAATGAGTTGCGTAGCAGGTTGCTCCCTCTCTGGTGTTCCTGGCTGTGTGTGTGTGTTGTTTTGGGGGGTTTTTTGTCTTTGGTTGGTCGTTGTCTCTGTTGGATTGCAACCTGGATAGCAACTCTTTCTTAACTCGACTAAGGTGACTTGTGCAGAACCTGCACACATAGCGCCTCGACTCGTGCAAAAAAAAGGATCCTATGAGGGACAATGCGTCTCTAATGACTATCCGGAGTTCCCAGATACGCCACGTCTGGCTTACGCCTATGAACAAGGCCTCCTTGATTGGAGTTTCGGGCAAATGGTCTCTTTCCAGTCCTCTTATAAAAGTATCTTTCGGTTAGAGGTGCCGGTATGGCACAATGTGGCAGACGGGCTAGCTGTAGCTCAATGTGACCCAAAGGCGGCTGCTGAAACGGGTATGGCCGAGCCGGTCTCAACGGGTGAGGCGCAAGCTTCAGGAGGCAAAGAGAACTCCCAAGGAAATGTTGACGCTGCGTCTGCCCCTGAGAGTGATGAAGAGGACGAGAGCCAAAGAAACCTATTCCAAAAGGAGTATAGGTAACAAATATGAGATTATTTCTAAATGGCTCCTTGCCGGTCTGGCAGTGGTCATCTCAAGAACCAACTGGAAGATTCTCTCTAAGAACCGAACGCTAACAATGACCCCTCGAAACATACTCCATGCCTGTTTTTCTTGGGGCTATCCTGCGGATGAAGAAGACAAGACCAGGAAGCCTTAATGCTCAGCCGCATCCGAACTCCCTCCTTCCTGCCACATGGCAAGATCAGGTCTCCTGGATGAGCCATGCAGGTTACGTACAGGTAACTGAGGCATTCAATGCTGAGCGAATGAGACAGGGATACTATAGCTCCAACGAACCGTGATGATTCCTGCGGAAATTTAGAGGCAAGGCTCTTTTTTTCCACGAGTGCGGACGCCATGTGGGCGGTAAGCCCAGGTCATCATAGAAAGTATGGAGACACTGCAAGTTGGTGGGGGAAGAAAGCCAAAAACACCAGACCAAAACCCCAAAACACACAACCAAAAAACAATAAAACCAAAACCCAAAACACGCACCCAAACAACAAACCACAACCAAAGCCCCCAATCCAATATAGCAGTGTTTCCTCTGTGCTAAAGTGAGACAGATGAGCGGTTGACGAGCTGCAAAATACCTAAGGGCCTGAATTCACTACGAAAAGCAAAATGCTTTGGGACGTGGGCGGTTTTCTGTTCGGCCAATCAAAGGTGGCCGCTTTCCATTGGCAAGGATGAGATCATCCAAGCCACATTTGTCACTGACATTAAGGTTGTCTTGTCTTCTTGCAAGGTGCCAGGACTGTTGTCGGCAGTAAAGCGATGACGAATGCCAAAAAGGTCATCTGTTGCAAAGCTCAGCAAGCCATGGAAAAATCCCTCTCCGTAGCACAACCCATATTGCCCCGTCCTGACCGAGAGGTTTGCAGCAAACCTTGGCTCTGACGCTGCAAAGGGAGAATGTGAGGGCGGTCCTGCGTCGGATGTGTGCTCCTTTCCTTCGCCCTGAACCTTGCTGAGGATATTCTGCCATTCCCTTTCGCTGCACACATGGTCACCATGCTTCTGATATGGTCAGTCTTCTTCCCGGCAATTTGGATAGCCATGATGGAAGTGGCGATGGAGTTCATTCTCGCTCAGTCTCGTGAGTTCTTGCCTTGACGAGAGGAGGCCCCACCCCATTCTGTTCATTGCAACCTCCAACCCTGAGGTCAGTCAATTAGCAATGATTGTGCTTTCTGTTTGGGCGTTACCCTTGGCCAAAGTTGTCAGCCGCAGTGGCAAGCCTAGACCAGCGGAGAGCAAATCGACCATGCTCCTGCAGAATGGTTTACCTATTGGATGTTGGGAAGAGTTCCCCGAAGAATTGACCGCAGAGGTGCAAGAATGAGTGAGGAAGAGCGAAAGAAGTGTTTCAAAAGGAGAGAGATCTTGCAATCGGTGTTGAGCATTCTTGAACAACGACCGGGTGAAGTTGCCCGGAGGCGAGCTCACAACTTTTGCAGATCTATGACAGATCTTTCTGTAGATGAGGAAACCGAAGGTGGAGAAGAAGCACCAGAGCTGGAAGAACCAGAAGCAGAGAACGAAAGAAGTGAAAGGATTTAGGGAAGAAAGTGATGCAAGAGATGGCTGTTTTTCTTCGATCAAATCGCCTGGAAGGAATTTTGGGAGCAGTTCTTCAAGTGCATTTCCAGTGCAAGTGCAATTTCCCGACCAGATCGAGGTATGGAAGCGTTGGAAGAGCAAGAAGAAGATGAGGGAGACAATGATGTGGTTGCATATGATTCCTGACATAGGTTATGTGTCTGGAGTAGCGCAAGGCATGTTTCTCCAACTGTTCGAGTGTGAACCATGTTCCGGCAAGCAGAGAGTCGCCACTTTCGTCTTCGTCGACTGCGATTTTGTGAGCCTACCGGGATGGAAGCCTCAGTTCCTCGTCTGCGGGAGCTGGAACCCAGCCAATCTTGTGCAAAGATGGCGTCAGTACCATGCTAGGATAGGTCTCAGTTTCACCAGTTTCACACGGGCCTTGCATGTTGAAGGACAGTGACCGCCGAATAAGTGTCCAACTGAAGAGTGAACACCCCCAGTGCTCCCCTTGCTCAACACTGCCGCACTCAAGACACGTCACCATGGCTTTGCTGGACCACTTGCGCTTTTAAGCTGCGTGTCTGGCCCAGCTTTCAGGGGAGGCTTTTGTTCATGGGCATGGTTTTGCGGTGTACAGCCTTTTGTGTGTAGAGGCTTTGAGGTTGACTTGCTGTCTATTGTTTGTGGGTTGTTTTCAACACGCACTTCCTCTCTGAACCCATTTTGCTTGAAAGCTTGGCATGCACACAGCATTTGGTCGACGAGTTGGAAGGTGAGATTGTAGAAAAAACATGCAGAGGACAGCGCAAAAAATCAAGATGCAAAGAAACTTTTATCCGGCAACAGAGGAGATATGAAAATGGCGCTTGTGATGTTGATCAGCCTGATCACAGGAACTGATCAAGTGAAAACAGCTGAGAACAATGGCTTGACTACGCAGTGACGACGCTATGTCATGTTGAGCATGCTTGTGCTTAATGTTGTGGGTATCGGCATGTGGAATCTTTTTCCAGTGGACGACAAAAGAAAAAGCGAACAAGGAGAGCAAAAAAGAGGCAACCCAAATGTGCCAGACAAAGGAGGCAAATGACCCCAACATGGTCTTCCACTTGCACCAACAATTGAAGATTTTCATGTGTCAATGACAAACAAATAGAAACAACAATTCGAAGCTTCGAAGCAGAGAGCAAAAAAACGATGGAGGAAAAACTTACGTTCCAGAGACAGCAAAGTGCAGTGTTGTCGTCAACAGTGAGAGAGCATGAACAACGGTGGATCAAGAGGCAAGACACTAGCACAGTCATGACCACCATGTCAATGTAAATTTGACCGTGATATCCAGGTTCGAGTTTGAATGCCAAAACAGCGCGTTGGTTTGTTACAACATTTTTTCTATTCATTTATTACATCCCCGAATCCTTGCGCGACATTCTGCTACCGATTGAAATACAGCCGACTTATCTCGGAGTTTTTCCATACTTAACAACCGTGTTTGTTTTGAAGGGCCATGACTTGCCCATTCTCCCGATGGCACGGGTTTCTTTTCTCCCAGCCCCTTTAATTTGTTTTTCAATTCATTCTGTGGCATCGTCTCCATTCTCTCGTTTTTCTCCTCCTGCAATCTCCTTTCTCTTGGCCTGTTCCCGCACGCCCCATTGAAGACCTTTCCATGCACTTTTACCTGCTACATTGAATTGAAACTTGAACGACCATCAAGCCTTGCGGCGTCATGCCCACACTGCCAAACCCGTTGTGCATTCCCAAGTATCTCGCTTCCGTATGCTTCCATTTTTTTGGCCACAGCATGTTATTCCTTTTCCACATGGTGCCACCTGTCCTTCATTGGACCCAGGGGCCAGGGGTCTGTCGGGCAGCAGTTTAATCTCCAATAGTACATCAGTTTTTTTAGTTTGTGCTCATCTGAAGAGACTTCCAAACAGTCAAACATTGAGGGAGGCGTTGTGAACCTTCCTTGTTCGAAGTAGCAGTCTAGACAAGTGTAGCCAAACAGAGATGCAGCAGGGTCAACCATCAAGAAACTTGAGTTTGTTTATTCAATTTCATGTATATAATTGTTGCAGCAACACGTTCGCCGAACAACTCTTTAGTGAGTTGAGACAGAAATTGTCCCGCATTCAATTAGGCACTTGCGTTGTGGTGTTGGTTTTCTGTCAAAAAGCAAACCAAGCAATCGACATCCTTTTAAAAGGTCTCTTGGTATTGGACTCTAAGAATTTCATGTTTAATTTTGTCCAAGTTGACTCTGAAACTCAGACATGACAATGTTAACACTTCGCCTGGTCTTCGCAAAGCTTTGGCCCTTGGAGAGGTTTATGGTGACCATCGTCCAGTGTCACGGCGCAAAAAAGCACATGACAAATACTACATCCACCGCGGCAAACATATAGTATAGGCATTGGCGAACTTTCTTGATGTGGGAGCTCAACAAATGATTCAAGGACAAACTCATTTAGCATCAGAGTTCTTGACGTTTCAAAGCCCAACTGCAGAGTCCCAAAACAAGAGAATTACGCGGATGTGGTGAACATTTTGCAGCGTCGTGGGGGGTGCCGTGCAGGCGCAACCCATCATTCTTGCCTGGCACGAGTTGCTTGCGCTCTGGAGTGTTCCTTTTTTGCTTTTTGCATGTGAACAGTTCTGTTTTGGGTGAGGCCTTGTGCCTGCAGCTCCCCATGTCGGCCCCACTGGCAGCAAGTCTTGGCCTTTGAGTTGCAAAGTTGAAACGTAATGATTTGGCATTCCCAGTGCAAGACATGGGTTGATCTTAAACCAGGCATGAACAAAGGCAGCCGGCCACCACCGCGCCCACCCATGCCAGCACAGGCCTTCCGAACTCTCAGTTTTTGAGCGACGTGAAACGTCACATAAACAAAGCAAACTGAAAAAGCAGTTTGGTGAGGACAAAACGTGAGATGTTCTTGCGATTTCAATAAACAGATGAGTCCAAGTACAATTTCAACTCAAATCGTTTTCGGAGGTAGCCTCGGCGCCAAAGGCGCTTCAGGTACCTGTCGCGACCTCAAGTTTAGTCGGATGTATATAAATGTCATGGTGTTTTGAGTCTGTATTGGGCAAAACGTTGTGATTTCCTTCGACACCTTGCCAAGCCTTTTGTCAGGATGCATTTGGCAGCTCCATGGTGAAGTCAGGAACAATCAGGCCACAGTGAATGGTTTTTTGTGAAAGAACGGTCTTCTTGGAAAATCAACCAAATAAGGCATCGCCAACGGTAGTTACCCAGTAGTTGCTTTCAACATTTAGCTTCGTTTCAGACCCCATCGGCCTGGTGCTGTGCCGCCTGCATCCGAGCTTTTGGTTGTGTCAGTCTCCACTTGTACAAAATCTCGGCATGGGTAAGGCCTGGTCCTGGAGGTCTTAGACCGCTTGAATCTGAGACGAATCTAAGACGAATCAAAACGAGCGCGAGTATGGATTGATATCAATTTATATCCTTCTTGCAGTGAAGCTTTATGATTTTCCCTCCAAGGTTTGCTCCAATCCAAGCGCCTCAAGGCACCTTGCGCTTGGTCTATTGTATGGAGTTTGTCACAGTGTGTGCTGAGTGAAAGCAGGTGTCACCAGGGAAATATGTAAGTTAAGTTTCCCTCCAAATCTAGAAACCAAATCATCAGTGCGAGTGCTTCTTCAAGGAAGCTCCCTCCCCTCAGGCGGGGCGAGCCTCCTTGAATAGCGTGTTCGCTATCCTGCGTCCAGTAGGTAGTAGCTTAGTAGCTAGTAGCGAACTAGTCGCCCTAAAACAAAATAGAAATAGGCACGGGGCCCCAGGGGGGGCCACGGGCTAAAACCAAATAGGCTCCCGTCCCTTCGCTCGTGGACCTTTTGGCCACAGGCTTTAGGCGGTGGTGACATGGAACAAGAGGTACGCAATGGAACTCACATTGCCGACACATTCCGTGGTGGAACAAGCCCACAGACATCAGCCCATCAGCCTTTGTCGCCTTCCTGTTTAGTGGTGGTCCCTGCCAGATGAAGGCTCTCTAGCCATGCCATGGGGAAGCTTTGTGGCCTGCTGCTGCTGTTCAGATTGCTCTGGCACTGCGATGCCTATACTCAGGTGGGTGCCTCAAATGGGAACTCAAGAGAAATCCCCTTTCTGGGCCTCTTGAAGCTCAGGCGGAATCGATCACTGGCGTTATGGCCACAATGTCGGAATTGTCGATCTTGCCGCTTGGTCGACCGGTTCCGTGAGTGAGTCAATGGTCGACTCTCTAGAGTCGACCGTACCGAGGTACAGCGCAGTGAGAATTGCCAATCTCAACTTTATTCTCGAAGGACGCCGAACGTCGAGTCGCTTCGGGTGCCGAAGACGCTCGATCTCTGGTCCATTCGACTTGCAGAGAAGTGGACTCCGATGGACTCCGGTCTGTTCCAAGGCGGAAACGGCTCGTCCAAGGCTCTCGTAGGCGCTCGTCCAAGGCTCAAACGTTATTTTTTCCACTCGAAGGAGTTGGGCCCTTTACCGTCTTCGCGCCCACGAATGATGCCTTCCGACTCTTGGGTCCTGGCATCACGGCCACCTTGTAACTTGGCACGTGAGTGACTCGAAGTGACCGAAAAAAAACCGGTTGGAACTTTTGCTATGAAACCAGTGAATGACAGTCAGTGTCGAACTTGAAAGAAATGAATTGATGACCCACACCTAATGAGGACCAAGCTGGATAACACGGCTTATTTGACGCAGGCATGATGGCGACTGGCGGTGAACATTTTTGGCAACCTAACAAGAGAGTACCAGAAGCTATTTATGTTCTTTGGAGATTTTTTGAGTGGATCTATTCCTAATTGTGGCACAGCTTTCCACAGGTCTTGCAGTACCATGTTTGTTATGGAGATACGCCTAGCCAGCAGCTCTTGCAAGGGCAGGACGGCGAACGAGTAGCAGTTGACAGTATTCCAGCTTTCGCATACTTGACATGATGCGGTTGCCCAGGACTTGTCGACATTTCAGGATGCACTCTCAGACTTGATGACTTGATGTTTGATCTCCTTTTTCTTTGAATGCTTTGTGCCCATTGCACAGCAGCAGCCTCTGCAGGGTGACACTCTCTCAGTGACGTCGATAACACCCTTCGTAGTGAACCAGAGCTGAAGAAGACAGTTGTGAATACAGAGTGAACTGGGCGAATAGGTTGGAGGCCATTGCTAGTAGGTTGGAGGCCATTCCTATTAGGTTGGAGGTCATCGCAATTAGGTTGTGCACATCTGAGGAATGATATCCCCATCTCTCGACAAGATCTTTCTGCCGCAAATGGCTTGATTCACACTATCCGGGAAGTGCCTCGATGTGATAGGGTTTCCGAAAGCCTGATAGATTATGAACACATGCTCTTCAATGGCTCTTGTCTTTGTTATTTGAGTACAAATTCCTTGGGTGCTACACTACAAGTATATGTCTTGATTGCTACAGAAAGAAGCTCCTACCATATTACCATATCATATTCTCAAAATGACATCAACAAAAACTTAAGTATATACATTGAGCAGCGTAGGTTCTGGGATAGAATCATTTGTTCTGTTGCTGGCCGAGCGCGAGAGAGAGAGAGAGAGAAGTATAGTGGTTTCTTTTTGTGCCGACCTTGACACAATCGCGACAAAGTCATCACAGAGTCGTGGCAGAATCCAATTCAATGAAGGCGATCGATTGTGGCTGTTATTTTCCTGCGATTGATACTCACGCATTTATTTCTTCATGGGCTGCCAAACCAGCCACAGACCCACTCTCCACTACTCCATCCCTCGTCACAAGCCTGTCGGACGTTCTTTTTTGCTCAAGCATACCCATACTTTATCAGCAACCTCCAAGTCATAGAAGCTTGTTCTTTTGTTGAAAGACGAGTTTGTTCTTGGCAAAGCTGAACCAGCACCGGAACAGTTGCCGTGGCTATGGTCATGCAGTTGGTATTCTCAGAATGTGCTGGCATGCTTTGCCCTCTTTGGCAAGTCTCCCGAAGACGTTTGCACCTGCATAACAAGTGTTGGCCTGGCGCGAATGCTTCCTCTTCAACCCTGTGATGTATAATGATAATGCTTTGCCTCGTGTTCATACGAAGGCTCATAGGGTGGGAATTTGCAGGGAGACTACTTTTCTTCCCACCAGTGACCTGTTTATCCTTCTTGTATCGAGGGCACGGGGCTTGATGCACTCTCCCTATTCGTGTGTTTATGTGCCCATATGTCTGAGCCTGAACTGTACAAGGTGATGATGCCCCCCAATTTTCAGCTTCCAGCTCCTACCATGAGCCTCGTATTTCAGTTGCACAGAGAGGACAGTCAGCATGCGTTTCTCTATTTGTGGTGCAGAGTGGGTATGAGCTGTCGCGTTCAGGTGGAACTGGTCAAGAGCGAGTCGTACCTCTCAAGCCTAGCACAGGTGACTTTACGGGGAGGGTCAGTCTACTGCAGGGGACGGACTGATTGCCACGCAGCCCACGCAGGCCATAGAGCAAACTGGTCTGGAATCTGCTCTTAGCGAATCGCCCTTGACAGTTGCCTTGTTTGCATTTACTGTAATTGTTGCAACAATGTGGATTTGCCTTTTTCCATTTTCATGTTGCAATCCACATTGTTGCGATTGGCATGAGGATTTTCAGGTCCGGAGTCCGGATTGCCCAAGGTCTTGATGCCCACGAACGAAGCCTTTACTAATCTGGGCAATGGTATCCTGGAGTCGCTGCTTTTGCCTCCGAACCTCGACAAGCTTCGGCAGGCCGGCGCGAAGCAACATGTTTCGTCGGATTCATCTTGAGGGATTGTACTTTTGTGAAGACCACAAGCTATTTCCAGACAGGTGAGTTGGCATAGTGTGAGTGGCAAGCATTAGTTTCAGAGAAAAGCAAAGTGCCAATAGAATACGAACACAATGTGACAATTCCATTGGGGCCAAATTCATCCAACCTGCAGCTTTTTGTGAGCTGAAAGAAGGGACTGCCAGAACTTGGCGGATTCCGCCTGCATGGTTGGCACGGCTCTTTCTCAGGTTGTGCTGCACCATGTGCTTGATGGCAATCAGGTACGGCACTATCTTGCTCGTTCAACAGTGGGAGATTTTAACACACACACACATGGCTGTGCTGTTCTGCAGGACACCACAAAATTAGCAGCTGGAAATACCATGATGACCAAAGCAGGAGGCGTGGAGTCTGCACTTCACGACCTTGGGAACTCACACCCCCGCCGGATGTGGCCTCACAGGTCAAATACTGATCACGCAGCCACTTAACTGCAAAGAAGACCAACAGTTTCCCATGCACCCTGGTCTGCACGACGGCCCTTTGCCGCAGGACCAGTCCGCTCAAGGCTGGACATCACCGGGCTGGCAGCGTTCAACCTACTTGAGTGATGGAACATTCATTGCTTTGGAAGAATCTCTTTTTGCCCAGCTGGTTCTTCAGATTCCGCAGGTAGATTCTTTGTCTATGGCCATCAGTACCGATGTGCCCGCGACAAATGGTGTGCTTCACGTGGTCGACACAGTGATATTGCCATCTGGCTTGCTGCCTAGACCTGGTGAACTTATGCAAGTTTAAGTCGACCGAGTGTGTCTTTCTTTCTTGCGAAACGGTGCAAAGAGGATTTGTCTATCCGGACAAGAATCTGCTACAACTCGTGCTGTGCTCAGAGTATGAGCCAAGGGAATCCAATCTTGTCATTCGATCTTGATGTGTGTAGGTAGAATCCATCCAGAGCCCAGGTGGAGGGCAGTCCATCCTTATCCATTTTTGCAGCTGCCATCCGGGCAGCCGGTCTTGAATCGACCTTGTCCGGAAGATTTTCAGGCCACGGCATGAGTGCAGACGAAATGTGCTGCGAACTTTATTGCCCTGGTTTGCCGCAATTGGTTTTTGTTGTCTGGAACTTGAGGCGATTCTCGGTATACAATGTTTGCACCCACCAATGATGCATTCGAAGCTCTCGGCATCGGTGTTGCAAGCTCTTTGCTGATGCCAGCGAATGAGGCGCAGTCGGATTTCTGTTTGTGGTCGGTGATCCGTCAAGTGTGCCAGTGATCCATAAGGTGAAGCTCCGTCAAGTTCTGCGGTATCATCTCCTTTCAGGCCCTTGTTTTTGCTTGCTTGATACTCGAAATCCCTTGAAACTACAAGAGAAATTGGACTAACTTCTGAGAAAGTTCAATTTTCCTCAGGTCTCAAGACACGTTCAAAACAAAACAACAATAGCTTCAACTGCTTCTCTTTGATGTAGCTCACTCAAGGTGCTTTCCAAAGCTTCGAGTTCACTGCCAATGTGCCAGTGCAAACTTTGGAGCAGAGTTTGGTCAAGATTGGCTGCTGGGCATTGTGTGTTAGACACATTTTGTCGATTCCGACAGAACAACAGCGGTTTGAGTGGGTTCTTGTGGATTCCCGTCCTCCTGAGGTTCTGTACGGCCTCTTGTAGTAGATAACGCCCGAGCACTGTCGACGGATGTCCCCGTCACGGGCTCAAGACGAAAGCAGTGCAGACGGTGCAGACGGTGTTGGCGCTGCCACTGTCACTTAAGACTGGATTCCGGGCTGTCTTCAGGCAACCAACGGCATTATACATATGCTTTCAGGTGTTCTCCTACCGCTGCTGAGTTGCATTCATTTGGTCAATCCAGGGTCCATTCTTCTCGGAGTTGTTTTGCACAACTAAGGGTTGGTTTTAGATTTCCAGACAAGAACGTAATGCTACTCGGCAGCAAGGATGCCGGAGAGCAGCAGTTTCATGTCGTGCATGAAGGGCTTTGTTCTCGTTTCCGTTCATGCAGGCAGCTGGCAGACAGCACAGACTCTTTGTCTACATTCAACTCCTTGGTGCAACTGGCCGGATTGACAGAGACGCTGGCCAACACTGGCCGGACCCTCACAAGCAGGAACACACGTTCAGTAGGAGGTTGGCACCGGTGACACCACTGCACTCCACTCTTCAAGGTGGGTTTAGAAAGAGGTACGTAGAAGGCCCCTTTCCAGAGATCCTCCTTTTAAAACTCGCTCGGTCCTGTGCTATTTTGTTGGTGGGCAAGGCTTGAGCCTATTGAGACTAACAAATCCCTCTTGAAACCATTCATGCAGCCTGACCCTGTCTCGACTTTCCAAAGGTCCCTACACCATCTTCGCTCCAACCAATGCAGCTTTTGCCTTATTGGGGGAAGACACTTTGCAGGCAAGGGGGAGTTGCTTTGTTCTGATTTGGCCAACAGCTGGCTTACGTTTCTTTGAGGGGTTGAAGAGTTATGAACGCCATAATCCAAGCTTGGCCTGGAGGAGTTGCGGCAGAGCGACAAACGTGAACTGCTGCAGATCTTGAAATACCATGTGCCTTAGAGCAAACCTGAGCGGCTCCAGTCCTTTCTTTCGGGGCAATTTAATGTAGAAACAATTCAGAGGGTACGAGCTGTGAGCTGAAGGTGATCAATGGGAAGATCGACAGCACACGCTTAAGATATGGCTTTGGCCTTACTGGAAGCTGTTCAAAAGTACTCAAAGTAGTACCATGCACACACGAAAACTTTTTGCAGTGTGAAGAGAGGGTTTTCTTGACCAATTCAACAGCAGCCATCACAATTTTGTGTGAGGTAGAGACATCGCCACCCTGGAGGTGTGTCACCGGGTTTCCTGGTTTCCTGAGAGTGTTTTTGGTTCACTTTCTAGTGCCAAGTGAGATTCCAGAACATGTATAGACTTTTTTTTTTCTTCTCCTCAGAAAGGGTTGCAACAGCGAACGCTGATTGCAGGGTTCCTTCATTACGGTGAAGCCGTGGACGGAACTAGGATGGCAAGGAATTGCATATGAATCGTTTCTTGGTGGCAAAATGATTTCACACCAAGATAGAGCTTGACAGGTCTTTGAGTGAGTCCTCCCCAAGATCGAACCCCGGCTTTGTGACCTAGGCTTCAACCCCCGGTCACCATGAACATGGATGTGGAGGTCTCCACAGAGAATGCTCTTGCGACGACTCTTTGGCTGCAGAGAATGTGCAGAAAAATCGGTCTTCCTTCATGCGATGCAAAAGTTTTTCAGAAGCCATCTGAGCGTTGTCGAGCTTCAGCAAAAGCTGTCGTGGAGTCAACCCTTCCACCTGCAGAAGCTTCCAGGGCCAGGAAGCCCAGACCAAACCCTGATACTCGATGTGCCCACGCTCGCCAAAGTACCGAAATGGCCTATCTAGTGATATATATATATATACATATACACATACATGTATATAATGATATCGTTAGAGTCGCTTCTCGGACAAACCGATGAATTTCTCTGCATGTTCCAGGAATGGCATTGCGCACTTTGTGAACAAGGTCATTTGTCTCAACTGCTCTCAGCCAACTCGAAACGGGCTGCCTGGTCAAAACTGCACTGAGTCACGAGTCGCTTCAGGTACTTGTTCCTCCCGGTGTTGAACTTGGGACTCCAGCGGAGACTTGGCTAAAGGAAAGGTGCACCATGGCCTCCACCCTAACCTAAGAGCGATGGCCTTCAACCGCTAGCGATGGCCTCCAACCCAATAGCGATGGCCTCCAACCTAATAGCGATGGCCTCCGGCCTAGGAGTGATGCCTCCGGAGTAGGAGCGATGGCCTCCAACCTAACAGCGATGGCCTCCAATCGGACTCCAATCTACTAGCGATGGCCTCCAACCTGAGAGTGATATGGCCTCCAACCTAAGAGCGATGGCCTCCAACCTAAGAGCGATGGCCTCCAACCTAATGGTGATTGCCTCCAACCTAAGAGCGATGGCCTTCAACCTAAGAGCGATGGCCTCCAACCTACTAGCGATGGCCAGCCAACCTACTAGCGATGGCCTCCAACCTACTGGCGATGGCCTCCAACCTACTGGCGATGGCCTCCAACCTAAGAGCGATGGCCTCCAACCTATAATAGCGATGGCCTCCAACCTACACCTATGGCCTCCAACCTACTAGCGTTGGCCTCCAACCTACTAGCAATGGCCTCCAACCTACCCTCCAACCTACTAGCGATGGCCTCCAACCTACTAGCGATGGCCTCC